AGCTGCCAGGTCCAGGATTCAAACCACAGCTGGCCATGTAGAAGTCCAGTGCCTTAACCACCATGCCACCTGCCAAACCCCTATGAAATATTAATATTCGAAAAAAAGTTCTCAAATACTTGTACTTTCATAAATGAAACTTTCTTTTTTTTTTTTTTTTTTGGAGAGGTTTTCACTATAGAGCATGTACTCTTGTCAGAAAGACAGAGAGACAGAGAGACAGACAGAAAGCGAGAAATCACCCCCAGGGGGGATGGCCCCACCGCAATCCCTTCTCCTCCATTCTCCTCTCGGAATCTTGGGCATGCACGCACATGCGCCCGGTTTGAGTTTAAGCCACTGGGTCCGGGATTCGAACCGCAGTCGGCTACATGGGAGTTCAGCAACATAGTTGTTATGTTAACTGCTGGTCCCCATAAATGAAACTTTTAAATAATGTACCAAATTAAATAGATTAGAAATAGAAATAAAGTGGAGGCATAATACATATTTTCCTCCAAATAAATGCATTTATAGTAAAGTTAAATCTCTCTTAGCCACAGAACACTTCTGGCAACTTCATACCATGTAAAGACTATCTGGAAACTGAGGAGTAAGCAAAGAAAACTGGGCAGAATGAAAGTGCGTAGCACGAAGTTCATATTCCCTCTCCAAAAAACACCAGCAGAAACCTTCCTACAGAGACTACTTTTTAAACATAAATTTAATACTGTCATTTTTAGAAAGCAGTTTACTGACAGGGAGGTTAGGGGCCAGACAACAACCCAAAGACAAAGCGCAGAGGTAAAATGTGACACTGTGTGAGGCAATCCTACATGGGAGGAAAGGTTTCTGGGTCGAGTCTGAAAAATTCCCTGATTATGCCAGACCATGCTTGCCCACAATCCAGGGTTGGCTGGGAGTGGACTGTGGCATCAGGACCCTATTGGGTATCTGTCTGTCTCCCTCTCACTCATGGAAGAGATAAATTAAAAAAAAAAAAATTTACAGGTGGGCAGTTAGTGAAGACAAATTTCAGCTATAAGAAGAACACATAAATCATGAATAAAATTATAAACCCAAACAAAGTAACGGTTTGGACCTGCAATGTCTGAAGCAGTAGATATTAGCCACCTGTGGCTACTGAGCACATGGTGTGTCCCTAGTCCAAACTGAGAGGTGCTGTCATGTAAGCTACATAATGGATCTCAAAAATTATAAAACATCTTTTTTCAGTGTGATTACCAAACATGTTTAAATGAGACCCACAGTGGCACAAGCCGTCAGGCACCACTGTATGAGACTGGGGTCAGATGGGAAGCCTGGGTTTGGAGCCTGGACCAACCTGAGCAGGCCAGGTGCCATAGCACATGCCTGTCATCCTAGACAACTGGAAGGCTGAGGCAGAGGACCACAGTGACAAGACCCTGTCAAAAAAAAAACCTCTTTTTTTCTCTCTCTCTCTCCATTTCCCTCCCATACTCCTGAGCTCACTCTATCTCATTCATTAAAAAAAAAAGTTTAAATTATATGTGTAGCTCACATGAATAGTTTTATTATATAGCATGATTTAGACTGATTGACATAAAAGATTAAAACCACAAAAATTCTTAAAGCCAGGACTATTACAACATAGCACAGTAATTATGTCTACTGTGTCCATGTACGCTTCTCGTAGTTGACAACTCTCATCAGATTTTCATGCAAAAAACTTTAGACCTGTCCTAAGTGGTTGATTATTAAACGGATAAGGTTGAAAAAACAAGTCCTGTGTCTGCCGTCAAAGACCAAGACTAAATGCAACTATTTCCACCATATTGACCAGACTGCCACAATTCAGTTTAAATGACTTAGGTTTCAAATGAGCACGTGGAGAATAAAATAAAGAATAAAACGGTGAGTGACAATATATTGCCTCAATCTCAAAAGGGAAAAAAAATTGACAAAAAAAAAAAAGTGAAGTAATTTCACAGTCTTTCATCCATTCTTTAAAAATATTTACTGGAGGGTGCTTAGTATACATTTCTTTCCAATTTTCTATAAATTTGGAAATTTTCATAATAGAATGTTAGGAAAATACTTATTAAATATGTAGTACATACCTAGCATTAAATTAATATTTTAAAAATTAGAAAAAATTTTGTTTTTACATATGGACTAATGTAATGGGTTGATATGACATAAAACTGTAACACTAGTGAAAACAGTTTATAATAGAAGAAATTATATAGTATTATGGGAATACAGGGAATTATTAGCTATGCTGGGGAAATGGAGTGGGAAACAACAAATCATACAAAATGCAATGAAAGAGTTTTATGCAATGAATGGAGTCTGCTAGGTGGAAAGGGCATTGCATTCACAGTTGTTCTCTGAGTTTTGTTTCTGTTTTTGTTTTCTTAAAAGATGTAATTGGTCCAGTCCTGTAGCTTAGCAGTTAAGTACTCGCAGAGGGAGCTATTCAACCGTAGTTAGAATTCCAGCCCTGGCAACTTGAAAACACGCAGGGCTTGTGTGCGTAGGTGCACAGGCAACATCCTGACAGGACAGAGATGGAGGTGAAAGGATCACGTGTGGTCAGATCCCACTAGGGGTTGTTTTCTTTTTCTTTGTCCCCACCCTCTTTCAAGTGTGCATACTTGTCCTCTGACTTTAAAAAAGAAAAAATAAGGGGCCAGCAGATGGTGTAATGGTTATGTTGCTGGACTCCCAGGTAGTCGACTGTGGTTTGAGTCCTGGACCCAGCGGCTTAAAACTCACACCAGACCCATGTGTGTGTGCCCAAAATCCTGAGAGGAGAATGGAGGAGAAAGGGCTGTGGCATAGACATATCCCCTAGGGGGTGATTTCTCACTTTCTGTCTCCTTGTCTCTAGAGGGCACACATGCCCTATAGCAAAAATCTCTCTTAAAAAAGAGAAAGAAAGAAAAATATACATAATTTATACAATTTTAAATACTGGATAGTATTCTTTGCAGGAAGAACATTAGAATATAAATGAGTCAGTAACTCAGTCTCTTTTTTTAAAGAATTATTTATTTCCATTTGTCATTCTTCTTTAACTTGACCAGAGAGACAAAGAGAGCAAAAGGGAGAAAGCAAGCCACCAGATGTGGGACTCAAACCACGGTCAGTCGTATGGGAATCCAACGCCCTCAACCACCATTCTAGTACTGACAATGCTTCTAGGCAAGTAATTTAATATTTGTGTGTTTAAAGATAGAAACACTGATTATTCTTCAAGTTTTTCCTTCTTCCCTTATCTAACTATGAACTTTTACCCAGATTAAGTCCCAGGCTTTCTCTATATTTTCCACAACTTGTACCACTTCAATACTAGTGGTAACTCCCAAATTTAAATTCTATTCCTGGTAGTCTCACATACACTCTTACTCAGATTTTTTTAAAAATTATTTTATTTAACTTTACTTATTTTAATTTGACAGAGAGGGAAAGAGTGAAAAGAGAGAGAGAGAAAGTGAGAAAGCAAGCTACCAGGTCCGGGACTCAAACTGGACTGGCCCCGTGGGAATTCAGACCCCTTAAGCACCATACCACCTGCTAGCCATTTTATCCAGATTTTCAAAAGCCTACTGAGTACTTTCACCTAGATATTTCAAAACTCTAACACGTAACATGAAAAATTGAGCCTCGTAGTCCAGTTCTATCTCCCAAATTCTTAATCTCAAATTTAAGAGTACAAACATTTGCCTAGAAATACCAAACATGATCATGAAATTCTTTGATTTATTAAATGATACTTTAAAACACAAAAAGAGCTTATAAGTAAAACAAATACAGAAGTCCAATATTTATTATTTATTACTATTTGGACCTAAATGGAACATGAACATGTTTAAGTCATTAGTAAAGGATTCCTCAACTGTAAAATTCTGTAATTGTACCAGATGAATATCCAAAACTATGTTAACAAAATATGCAAAAGCATTTTATATCATCCATACTATCAAAAGTCATACATTAATTTTAAATGAATTTAAGTTGTTGAAAGGATACTTCGGCAACAAAATAAAACAATAAACTAACTTATGCTCTCATTAAGAAAGAAATGTTAAGTGACTAATTACTGCTACAAAAAATAAATAAATAAGGTGGAGGAAAAAAATAAGTTATATAAAGTTCATTATGAATAATACCCAACTACAGATAGGGAAAAAGAAAGTCACATTTCTAAAGAAGGAAGAACTTGTTTCTAGGAAATATATTTATTACACTGATGGTGACAAGAAGCAAAAAATACTACTTTTTCTTCCCAAATAATAATTACTGCTACAAAAAATAAATAAATAAGGTGGAGGAAAAAAATAAGTTATATAAAGTTCATTATGAATAATACCCAACTACAGATAGGGAAAAAGAAAGTCACATTTCTAAAGAAGGAAGAACTTGTTTCTAGGAAATATATTTATTACACTGATGGTGACAAGAAGCAAAAAATACTACTTTTTCTTCCCAAATAATTGATCTACAAAAGACAATATATATAAGAATATTATAATACTGTCTCATAGCCAGAATATTATAGAAAACTCTGAAAATAAATTATAATCTCAGGGCCAACAGGTGGCGTGGTGGTTAAAGGCACTGGACTCCTCCCACATGGCCTACTGTGGTTCAAGTCTAGGACCTGGCAGCTTGCTTTCTCGCTTTCTCTCTCTCTCTCACTCTCACTCTGTCACTCTCTGGTCAGATTAAATAAAGTGAGAGACCAGCAGGTGGCATAATGGCTATGTTGCTAGACTCCTATGTAGTCGCCTGCAGTTCGAGTCCCAGACCCAGTGGGTTAAACTCATACTGGGTGCGTGTGCATTCATGCCCAAGATCCTGAGAGGAAAATGGAGGAGAAGGAATTGTGGCGTGGCCATCTAACCTGGGAGGGGATTTTTCACTTTCTGTCTCTCTGTCTTTCTCTGTCTTTCTGGTGAACACACACGCCCTATAGCAAAAACCTCTCAAAAAAAAAAAAAGTTAAATAATTCTTTAAAAACAAAGTTATAATCTCAATTGTAAGTATCAGAGACTAAACCTCGTTAATAACTTTTTTTTCTACAATACTAACCTGTAAGAAACCAGAGGGTCACGAAATTCCACACGATTATTTTTCTTCACATTACTCTCCAGGGTGGTAGCTCTGAGAGGACTGCGAGATTTCTCTTTTCGTGATTTAGAGGATTTGGAGGTTGGAGCATTAACCCAAGAATCATCCAGGTATCTGCCTTCTGAAGGAAAAAGAAATCTATGAGATCACAAAATACAACAGTCTCAGATCAGGCAGTGGCACTGCGGTAACCCAGCTGAACCCACACAGGGAAGGTCCTGGGTCCTGAAACCTCCCTCAGCACACTAAGTGCACAGTACACCTGCCCATGATTCAGGGTGGCTGAGACTGGAGGTGGACTGCAGCGTGAAGACTCCGATAGAGTGCCTGTCTCTCTATCTCCCTCTTTTGAAATAAATAAATAAACTTAAAAAAAAAAAAACTATCACTAAATTTGGCTACTATCTTTTTTTTATTTAGTTTTTGCCATAGGGCACATGTGCATGCCAAAGAGAGACAGAATGTGAGAAAGTCTGGACGTGGCCACGCCACAATCCCTTCTCCTCCATTCTCTTGGGATTTGGGCCAGCCCCCGCCCCCTCCCTCCACACACACACACACAAACACACATACACAGTGTGATTTTTCAAGGTGCCAGGTCTGGGACTTGAACCACAGCCAGCCCTGTGAGAGTTCAACACTTTAACCACCATGCCAATTGCGGGCCCCTTTACTAGTAACAAAGAAAGTAACTTAGGTATGTATCATTACTGGCATCTCTAGTTTGATTTTATATAAGTAGAAAACATTCAAGTTAAATAATTATAGTAATTTAATCGATATTCTGAGCAAATAATACAAAATGAAATTCTCTATATAAAATTCCTTTGTGGCAACAATTCTTACTTGCTTATGAGAGAATTACCAAATAAAACTCAATAAACTTACAGGTTTAAAAAAAAAAAAATCATAGGGGCCAGCCCGTAACATGATGGTTAAGGAGGTTGGATCCCAAATGACTAACTGCACAGTTCAAGTCTCAGGCTTGAAAAACACATTAGGCCTGTGTGTATACACACCCAGAATCCCAAAAGAAGGGAAAAATGGAGAAGTGACTGCAGCGTAACCAACCCCCACAGTATATACCCGTGTGTAGGGTACTTTCCCTCTGTGCGTCTCTCTCTAGCAAGTATATATGCCCTATGGCAAAATTTAAGGGGAAAAAGTTATAGTTTAGATAAACAGTACTGACCTATAGGTTTTAAATCACCAATGAAGAAACCACCAATTAAGAATCAAATATATGAAAGTAACCAAAGAAAATACATGCATTGCATCAATTTATAATGGTATCTGAACAAAAGATATTCCATTTGTGATTTTTTTTTGAGATGTTTTTTACTATAAGGCACATTTGCTCACCAGAAAGACAGAGACAGAGAGACAGAAAGCGAGAAATCATTTCCCCGGGGGGGATGGCCACACTGTAATCCCTTCTCCTCCATTCTCCTCTTGGGATCTTGGGCACGCACATGCACCCAGTGTGAGTTTAAGCCACCGGGTCTGGGACTGGAGCAGTAGTCAACTACATGGGAGTCCAGCGACACAGCCATTACACCAACTGCTGGTCCCCCATTTGTGATTTTAAATCCAAACAAAAATACCCGTGTTAAGTAAATTTCACTTTTAAGGTGATATACATGTGGGGAGAAAAAAAGACATACATAACCCCCCAAATGAAATTCTCATCATTAAAAACAAATGAAGGAGCCTGCAGGTGGCATGGTAGTTGAGGCGCTGGACTCCCATGGTGTCAATGGCAGGTCAAATCCTGGATCCAGTGGCTTGAAAATCATGCCAGGCACATGTGCATACATGCCCAAAATCCCACAAGGAGGATGGAGAAGGGACTGTGGTGTGGCCATTGCCCCGGGGGATGATCTCTCACTTTCAGCCTCTCTGGTGGGCACACATGCCATACAACAGAAGCCTCAGAAAAAAAAAAAAAAGGAAAAGAAAACTCACTGTCAAAAATGAGTTCCCTTTGACAAAGTCCCTCATCAAAAGATGATGATAACACATCTAGTCACTGAATGTGAAGCTGCTTTATAACAACTCAGTATCAGTACCAAAGGAAAAAACAACTTAAATGCCACTGATGTATAGTTCTTTACACCAGAAATAAGCAAATATATCAGACTTTAAAAAGAAATTAAATTCAAACAAAACTCACATCAAAACCTTATGTTTAATAGATTTGTAACTTCAAAAGTAACTTAATACATACCTTTTCTACTTATTTTTCTGGTAGCATTTGCAGAAGACTTCTTGGCCTCCATAACAGAATCAAGCATAGCCGTACTGGCAGGGGTTACTTCTAATTTGTTTTCAATATGTCTCAGCTAAAGTTTAAACACCATCACAACACATGAGTTAATTCTTTAAATAATCCAGCTCCCATGCACTTTCATGATCATTTAAAACTTTATTATATTGTTCTATTTCTTTCTCCAAAGTAGAAAGAACTCAGGAATACTTTTGTGTATACTAATTTTTTCATCATTATTTCTTCAGCTATAATAACAGCTGGTACAGTGCTGCCCCAATTTGACAAGAAAATCAAAAAGATTCTGAAGGATATCAAAGCATTTCTATATATTTGTCGTGTTGATCTATTTTTCTTAATTGTTGAATTGTTTAAAGCAATGATATTATATATAGTGCATATATACTATGCACTATATCTGATGCAATTTACATGCAAAAATAAGAATGATTTAGTTGGACTAAAATTTAGGAGAGCCACAACTGTTTATAGTTTTATGTCTATAAAGTAAGTTTTACAATAAGAACAAAATTCACAAGATCAAATTCAGGTTTTACATAGACTTTGTAATATAAATCAACCTACGGTATAACCACCAATATTCTCAATGATTTTTATTGATAAAAGCATTTCTTTCTGAATAGAAGAGTATATGCTTGCAAGAAAAGTTAGGAAAAAGAAAAATGTAGAAAGTAAATTAAAGTCATCAAAATTCTACCACATAAGGATGCTGTAAAAAAAATTTGATTTATCTTCTTTCAGTACTTATTAAAAAACAAACAAAAAACCTGGGGCCAGTCAGGTGGTATGGTAGTTAAAGAGGCTGAATCCAACATGACCAACCACACTGTTTGAGTCCTGGATCTGGTGGCTTGGAAAATACACCTAACACGTACTCTAGTTTTGAAAAACAACTATTAACAATTTAGTTCTAAATTAGTTTAGTTCTAATACATTAGAAATATATAACATTCATTTAGAAGAGAGAGAATATATTGATTTAAAATAGAGAAAATATATTGCCTAATCATAGGACCAAAATTTGACACTGTATTGGGACCAAATCTAGGTTATAATATCTTTTCCAAATTCAGTTTCAAGCCAATTTTAAAGACCAGAAAATGGGGGACCAGCCGTTGGCGTAATGGCTATGTCGCTGGACTCCCATGTAGTCGACTGAGGCTTGAGCCCCGGACCCAGTGGCTTAAACTCACGCCGGGTGCATGTGCGTGTGCGTGTGCATGGGTGCCCAAGATCCTGAGAGGAGAATGGAGGAGAAGGGATTGCCACGTGGCCATCTCCCCTGGGGGCTGATTTCTCTTTCTCGGTCTCTCTGTCTCTCTCTGGTGAGCGCACATGCCCTATAGCAAAAAACCTCTCAAAAAAAAAAAAAAAAGATCAGAGAACAGAAAATACCACTAAAATACTCAGAACGGAAACAGGTGATTCAGATTCATGTGGTATGGAAAGGAAAATAAAAAGAGGATATATTAGAAGAGTAATCTGCCTAGAAAGAAAATGAAAAAAGAAAGGAACACAAAAAGTATCTCCTTTTAACAGGATTATGCCTCACTTGCCAAGTTAGACTTCTAAACTCCAGACCAGAACACAGATGGAAACAGGTTGCCACCAATGACTTACGGAAACAGTCATCCCTCTTCAGCAATACAAGAGAAAAAACCAAGTATTTTATTATATTAAGCCAAAAAAAGACATAACTCGCAGTCCTTTTAAGGGGAAACTACTTCCTTTCATTTCCTCCCTAACAAGCCTACTACATGAACACAGATAGCCCCAACTTTCCAAAAGTGTTGTTTTATTTTTTTTTATTTATTTATTTTTTAGAGAGAGTTTTTTGCTATAGGGCGCGTGCGCTCACCAGACAGACAGAGAGAGACATAGAGACAGAAAGCGAGAAATCAGCCCCGAGGGGGGATGGTCACAGATGGTCACGCCGCAATCCCTTCTCCTCCATTCTCTCAGGATCTTGGGCACACACGCACACACTCCCAGGGTGAGTTTTAAGCCACGGGGTCCGGGACGCAAACCGCGGTCGACTACGTGGGAGTCCAGCGACACAGCCATTACACTGTTGGTTCCCATCAAAAGTGTTGTTTTAAATCTTCAACATCAATGAACAAATTTATTAAAAGTGAATAAATAGAAGCATGTTTTTAACATTTCATATGCACAGTATTATTACTCCTGACACCTATAGCAGTACATCGCTTTTTCTTTTACTATGCAATGGCTGTCACCCGCGTTCATTGTGTAATACACAGTATACCACTTCTTACCAAGTGTTTAGCTGTGTGTTATCTAAAGTGCTATAGACAAAGTGTAATCTACTCATCATAATAAGAAATGAATTTGAAACCAGAAGAAAACAAGTAAGAGTTAAAACTACTTACAGCAGCCTTGGTCTGAGAAAGTGCATCCCACGATGTAGTTATATCTGCTAGGGAAAAAAGCAGTATTTACTGAATCAGAATCTCTGAGGCAAATCTCAGAATCTGAAATTATTCTTCTATTTTTCTCTCTCTTTCATAAGACAGAGTCTCACTATGTTGTGATCACACTGTCACAACCTCCCTAGTAGCTGAGACTATATAGGTGTGAACCACCATGCCCAGCTCTTTGGTGTAGGCTGGGGATCAAACGTGGGATTCCCACGCAGACTCAGCCAACCAAACAACACCATCAGCTAGCACATGCTGCTGGGGCTGGGCCAGAATCTCAATTTTAATAAGTTCCCAAATGGACACTTAAGTTTGAGAACCACTTTATTAGCAGAAGTATTCCTCAGCAGGTGCTTTTACTATATTGAGCCATGCTTTTTTTCCTTAACAACCATTCTATAAAGTCAAGCTTCCCAACACATAGTTTAGAATTGAATAGACACTGGCATCATTCATCCTTAGGACAGCTGAACTGATATCCCCACCCACACCTGTTCAGATATCTCTAAAAATAAGTAGCATCCTCAATTTACCCCAAAGAGCTGAACAAATAGAAAATTTTGTATTGTGTCATATTCACATTACAATGTGAAAAAAGAAATCAGAATATTAATTAGAAAACTACTCCAGATTTTGGTCACATATTTCCTAGGAGTCATCCTCCTCTAGAATAACTATTTCACTTCTTGCAAATTCTCCTCAGACACTTTGAGGTCCAGAGCCCTCACAAACCCAATAATCTTCTTCCAACTATATTACACTTTGTTAATTTCCTTCAAAAAATATCAGGTTTTAGAGTTACCTTTGATACATTATTAAAAAGTCAATAGTTCAATGAGACTATTTCTTTTGTTATATTTACATTATAAGTCTATGACATTGTAACAGGAACTACATTATAGCATTTACTGACATTAGGACAGAATTTCTTTTTTTTTTTAAAGAAAGATTATTTGCTGTAGGGCGTGTGCGTTCACCAGCAAGATAGAGACAGAGAAACAGAAAGCAAGAAATCAATCCCTAGAGGGGATAGCCATGCCGCAATCCTCTCCTCCGTTTTCCTCTTGGGATTTTGGGCACACACACGTGCCCACCATGAATTTTAAGCCTCTGAGTCCAGGACTCAAAGCATGGTTGACTATGTAAGAGTTCAGCAACGTAACCATTACACCACCTGCTGGTCCCAAGCCAAAATTTTTAGAAGATTGTTTGAAACTAATTTTACATATATACTGCTTTTTTTTTTTTTTTTTTAATTTCCCTTTACAAAAGTTACCACAGGATGGTAACATGAAGGTTAGGTACCCACTTTAAAAAATATATTGAATTTTAAAATTATTTCTCCAATCTTAGAAATCAAAGCATATAAGGGCCAGCAGATGGCATGGTGGTTAAGGTGCTGGACATGGCCAACCACAGTTCAAATCCCGGACCTGGAGGCTTGCTTTCTCACTTTCTCTCTCTCTTTCTCTCTCTCTCTCTCTGGTCAAATTAAAATAAATGAATGAATAAACTGAATAAATAGTTCCCAAAAAAAAAGAAAAGAAAAGGATATGTATAATTTTCATTTATTGATTAGTCCAGAACTGAATACATTATGACCTAAACGATGCATTAAATTCAGTTAGAAAAAAAAAAATTATACCTTGGACAGTATCTTTGCTTTGCGAGTTCCTTGGATTTGGTAAAGGCACCTCTTTTGATCTGCTGCTCCTCATCCTGCCAATTTACCTGCAACATATCAGTATTCAAAGAACATCAATAGTATAATAAGATTAGTAAAGTCAATGCCCTAACTTATCTGGCCTTTCGCAAAAGTCAGAAAAGGATTTCATCATCTCTAAAATGTATTTTTCCAAACTCTCTAAAGAGTTTCTGATGATACAATAATTTTGATTTTACTTAGAAAAGTAAATCACTGGGGCCAGCAGAAGGCACGGTAGTTAAGGTGCTGGACTCCATATGGCCAGACTGGTTTGAATCCTGGACCTCGCAGAATGTAAAGCACACTGAGCATGTATGTCTATGTGCCCGAGATCCCAAGAGGAGAATGGAACTGCCGCACAGCCATCCCCACCCCCCTACCCGGGGGAGTGACTGCTCACTTTCCTTCTCTGTCTCTCTCCAGCAAGTGCATAAACCCTATGGCAAAAACCTAACCAAAAACAAAAAAAGAGGAGGAAGAAAAATAAATAATTAAAAATTATATCATGACTACCTCATATCTATCAGGATGAATGCTTTCAAAAACAAAACAAACAAACAAAAAAACAGAAAATAAGTGCTGAAAAAATCAAAACCTTGTCTGTTGGTAAGAATGCATAACGATACAGTCACTGAAGAAAACGCAATGGCATTTCTTCAAAAACTGAAAGATAGTATTACCATAAGACCCAGCAATTCCAATTCCGGATATACACCCGAAAAATTGAAAGTATATATTTGGGCGGGGGGTGGGGGAGCAGAGGGTGTTTGTGCTTGCCAAAGACAAAGAAAAAGGGGAGGAAGAAAGCATACCCCAATGGGGGATGGTCATGCTGTAATCCCTTCTCCTCCATTTCTGCATCCCACACCTGCCTGCTTCGCACTGGGGCTGGGGTTCAAACAGTATGGCAGGCCATGGGGAATCCAGCTCCTTTAACCACTAGGCCAAAAGGTCAGCCTTGAAAATAGAATCCTGAAGACAGACTCACACATCCATGTTCACAGTAACATATTCACAATAGCTAACGTGAAAGCAATCCAGACGACTGGATAAGCAAAATGTCATATACACATCAATACACTCATTCTTAAAAAATAGAAAATACTTAAAGATACCATATTAATTAGGAGATGTCTACATGAAGAAGACAGAATGAAGAGACAAAGACAATTTTGTATTTAAGCCCTATACCAAGCTTATAAAGTTAAGCATTCCTTATCTAATATAGTAAATCTTGCTATGATTTTCCACTTCCACAATGGCAGGTAGTATGATTTCTGTATAAATGCTTCTAGGATTTAGACCAGGCAATATAATTAACTAGACAGTTAAAAATTTATTTTATAAATTACATTTTCCCTGCTATAATAGCTAAAAGCCACATTGTCAACAATTTTGACATTCAGGAAAGAGTTAATAAATTTTCAATAACTGTTGGACCTCTTCACTTCTGAGGCCTAATGTCTGTCAATGTCTTTATTTAAATTTAAAGTGATCTATAATGACCCACAAATAGACTTTCCTCCTTTCTTTTTTCTTTCTTCTTTTTTTTGGAGAGGTTTTTGCTATAGGGCGCATGCATTCGCTAAAAAGAGATAGAGAGACAGAAGGTGAGAAATCACCTCCCAGGGGGGATGGCCACACCGCAATCCCGTCTCCTCCATTCTCTTCTTGGGATCTTGGGCACTTACGCACACGCGCCCAACGTGAGTTTAAGCCACTGGGTCCGGGAATCTAACTGCAGTTGACTACATGGGAGTCCAGCAACATGGCCATTACGTCAACTGCTCATCCCCTCTTCACTTCTGAGGCCTAATGTCTGTCAATGTCTTTATTTAAATTTAAAGTGATCTATAATGACCCACAAATAGACTTTCCTCCTTTCTTTTTTCTTTCTTCTTTTTTTTGGAGAGGTTTTTGCTATAGGGCGCATGCATTCGCTAAAAAGAGAGAGACAGAAGGTGAGAAATCACCTCCCAGGGGAGATGGCCACACCGCAATCCCGTCTCCTCCATTCTCTTCTTGGGATCTTGGGCACTTACGCACACGCGCCCAACGTGGGTTTAAGCCACTGGGTCCGGGAATCTAACTGCAGTTGACTACATGGGAGTCCAGCAACATGGCCATTACGTCAACTGCTCATCCCAACTTTCCTTTTTTCTGTGATTTAAATTTACTGTAAATAGGTAAGGCACAACAAAAAGTATTAGAAATTATGTCATGAACACCAATGTACTCACTTCTCAATTTAACAAATAAACTGTTACCAATCTGGCTGAAGACCCTGGTGCATCTCTACCCATACTCATCTCCCTCTCCTCATCCAGCAGTAAGAATCACTTTCCTAAACTTGGTGATTATCATGTACATGTTCCTGTGACTTTAACATTTTTCAAAAGCCAAAAATGACAATCCTTGCTATTGAACACAAAACAACTGATCTCAAGTTATGCCTTTAAACTGTTTTGAAAAGGTTCATTAAATGAAGTTGTGTATAACGTGTACTACAGATGTCAGTGACTGCCTGATTTCTAAAGAACTACTACTAAAGAACTTTCTAAAGAACTACTACTCTCTTCCTCAATCAATAGGTTCTGCCCCCAGATAAAGCTGATGGGATAAGGAGTGAGGAACTGACACAAGGTCAGTCTATCCAGTCCCTAGCCAAAAGAGATTACAGAGTTTTAGAACTGGAACTTGAAGCAATTGAGCCAATGAGCTGCAAAGAACCAAGCTTAAAAAACATGACCAAAAAAAAGCAAAAGAAAGATCAAAGAAAAACAAATGAGAAAACACGTGGTCCCAAGGAAAAGGAAAAAGTGGTCTTGTTCTTGACAGATTTTCCAGTTCCCAAAATATCACCTCTTTTTCTGCTCTTCCATTCCTTGAGGCCTCTCTGAAGCCTTATAACAAACTTCTCTTTATTTGAGCAACTTTAATGGAGAAAAAAGTTTAAAAACCAACAGGAAAAGAGGAGCCAATAAAATACTAACATTCATTTCAATCATCTAAATCAGATAGAGGAAAAAAGTTATTTATAAAAAATGCCTTTGAAATTCATTTAAAATATTCAATAGAAAATATACTAAGCAGGACCAGCAGTTGGTATAATGGCTATGTCACTGGACTCTCCCATGTAGTCGACCACAGTTTGAGTTCCCGACACGGTGGCTTAAATTCACGCCGGGTGG